CTTGCCCTTACCATTTAAAAATTATGGCCAAGGTTAAAAGTAGGTCAAACTCCAAGATCAAGGTCAGAATGTCAAGGTTATTGGTATTCAATAAAAGGTCTTTCACAAGGATTACATATGTGAAGTATGAACGCCCTAGCCCTTACCGTTCAAAAGTTATTGCCAAGGTTAATGTTTTTTTTATAAATCCAGAAATATCTAAGTTCAAGGTCAAAAGGTCAAAGTTTTTGGTATCCAATAAAAGGTCTTGCCACAAAGAATGCATATGCTTAGCATTGAAGCCCTAGCTCTAACCGTTCAAAAGTTATTGCCAAGTTTAAAGTTTTTCATAAGTACGGAAATCTCCAGGGTCAAGGTCAAAAGGTCATAGTTTTTGATATCCAATAAACGGTCTTACCACAAAGAATACATATGTGAAGTACGGAAGTTATGGACAAGGTTAAAAATTTTTAAAAAGTAAGTCAAACTCCGAGGTCAAGGTCAAAGGGTCAAAGGTCTTGGTATCAAATGAAAAGCCTTGTCACAGGGATTTAGTGGAGCTATGACCATGACCTTGGAAATTGATTTACTTTGGCAAAGCCTTAACATTGGCCATAAATTTTAAACGGTAAGGGCTAGGGCTTTGTAATTCATGTGACAAGACCTTTCTTAAGAAACCAACAACTTTGACCCTTTGACCTTGAGTTGACCCTGCAGTTTGACATACCTTTCAAAAACTTATCCTTGGCCTTAACGTTTGAACAGGTGGTGCTAGGGGTTTCATATTTCACAATTGTATTTCTTATGAGAAGACCCTCCTTTGGATTCTGATATATTTTAATTTCCGTTTAAGAAAAGTTAGAAAAGTTTTGCTATACGGGGACATCAGTGTTTCACGAACACATCTTGTTTAACTGTGAACGCATTTTATCTGTTTATCTCTTTTAGACATGTTTAGCATTTCCACGAGATATTATTAAAGTGCATGTGTTTAGAAAGTATCTCCAGATAACGCCTTTTGAAGGCTTTCTTCAGTTCTAGATAACAGTATCTCCACACCCCACTCTTCACTCTTGCTTTATAAGTTCAACAAAATTTTATTTGAAAAATTAATCTTGCTCTGTTTTGTAGTAAGGAAGACAAAGGAGAATTGTTTATGTACTAAATATTTGAAGTAAACTGCACTATCACAGCGCTTAACTTTTTAGAAAAAATAGAGGTCACCTTCTATCAAAACTTAAGTTTATTTTCTCAGACACATGCATGCATGCATTACCCTTATTTATAATTGCAACAAAAAGTGTGTGTGTGTGTGTGGTGGGGGGGGGGGGCAACTGCGCTTTCACTGAACATTTGTGTTATTTAGTATAAAAAGTTATGTCTATAGATAAAATTGAAGATCCCCCATCGCATTCCCTTTATATTTTATATATATTAAACAAGATCAAGTAATCTGTTATCTATATGCATACGATGTTTTAGGTCCAGGAACATGCATATATGCACATATGATGATGCAAGGTCAAGTATACCCCGTCTATATTAAGTACATATATCCGTTACTCTTCCTAATTAAGTACCCTAGTATAAATAATTCCGTGATGAAAGCTTTATCAAAGTGAGATTGTCTTCTTATTTAAATCTCTTGTATGTTCCCCCCGCTTTCGCAAAAGCGAGGACACAGAATAAATGTCGTGTCCTTCTGTTTGTCTGTCCGTCTAACCGTTATTCTGTCAGAATCACAGTCACAAAAACTTTAACCTTTAACTTTTGATTTAGTGGAGCTATGACTTTCATATTTCATATGTGTATTCCTTTGACAAGACCTTTTTTCACCACCAAGTTTGACCTTTTGACCTTGACCTGGATAACACTTTTACACAAAAATTCCAAACTTTTACTTTGGCCATAACTTTTGAATGGTAGGCACTAGGACTTTCATATTTCACATATGTATTCTTTGTAGCAAGACATTTTATTGGATACCAACAACTTTGACCTTTTGACTTTGACCTTGGAGATTTTCGTACTTATGAAAAAACTTTAACCTTGATCATAACTTTTGAATGGTAAGGGCTAGGGCTTTCATACATCATATATATATAACTCTTGTGAGAAGACCTTTTATTGGATACCAAGAACTTTGCCCTCTGGACCTTGACCTTGGAGTTTGACCTACTTTTCAAAAACTTTGACCTTGGCCACAACTTTTTAACAGTAGATACCAGGACTTTCATATTTCACATATGTATTCTTTATGACAAGACCTTTCATTTGATACCAACAGCCTTGTTCTTTTGACCTTGACCTTGGAGATTTTTGTACTTATGATAAAACTTTAACCTTGACTATAACTTTTGAATGGTAAGGGTTAGGGCTTTCATTCTGCACATATGTAATCCTTTTGAGTTATGTTCAAGACACGATGTAGTTACGATATTGACACATTACTTTTTTATGTTTACTATAATATTTCTCAATCTTTGTGTATTTTTTACAATACTTTCTGTTTTAAGAAGTCTTTCTAACCGTCAATATCCACGATATCGTGTCGATATCGAATCATGATTGTTCAAAGAATTATGGTTTCCATCTATAATGCTAGTATTGTGTTTTTAACATGTGTTTCTTGAAAACGATCTTTCACAAAACTTTCCTGTAATGTCGATATCGACGATGTCGCTTCGATATCGAATCATATTTGCTCAGCCCTTTGTTATTACGTACCGTCACTGATACTTTGTATGTGTATTCATGTTTAATTACTTTCCACGAAGATTGTACCTGTCATCGATACGATATCGAATCATAATTGTTAAATCATATTACTTTACCAGCCTGTACCCTTATACAAAATCTTTATTTTTAACATATCCCATGACAGTAAGTTCTGTGTTTCTTCGTGCAATGCAAGTGCATATTTACTTTCTGATTATTAAGTTAACCTTATTACTGTTCACCCTCACCCAGCATCATACTCTAAACCTTATCCAAAACAACAACAGCCACTAACCCTGTCCTTATCATAATTTAATGTCATATTCCTGCTAATGAATGAATCTGACATCAATTGTGACCTTGTAAAATCATGCTATACCTCAATGTGAAAAAATTCTACAAAAGGATCGATATCGAGACGATATCGTCATGGTGTTGTCGATATCGACATAGCACAATGTCTCATGTATGGTACCAGGTATATCAAATTAATAGAGCTCATAGCTCAGGAGCATATGACTATGTTCGACATAATTCTTTAACATGTATGATCCTTTTGAGAAGTTTTTTCATTGGATACCAAAAACGTTAACCCTTTGACCTTTACCTTGGAGTTCAGTGATAATTTCTAAATAGATTACTTATGATAGGGCATTAATATTAGACACAAAATGTCATAAAAAAGTAACATCTCACCCAAAATAAAATACATCGAAAGCGGGGGACCACAATTCTTTGAATTTTTATCCTGTCTGTCTGTTTGATTGTCTGTCTGTCTGTTATCAACTTTAACCTACAGCTGTAGCCCATAACTATTGCGCTGTCAATGGTAAGTGTATACCACCTCAGTCTACGTCCCACTCCCTCCAGAATTGTGTTACCATCGGGTACATAGTGTCTCACAAACACATATTGTTTGTACATGTATAAACTTTTTGTTTGTTAGGCGACAAAGTTTTTACATTATTCCAATCGTCTTAACATGTTTAAGGAGGGAGGCAGCATATGTTATATGTGTATTCCAGAGAAAAAATTTCAACTTTTAAACAAAATCGAAAATTCATATTTCGGGATGGGGGGATGAACTACTTTATATAATATTATAATTAGCCTATTCAAATATATTGCAAAAAAGAAGGGGGAACCGCCTTTTCAATAGAAAAAAGTTATGCTTGGAAAAAGGGGAACCCCCTCCCCCGATTGCTTCGTGTCTTCCTATATTCTACAATATCTATATATGTCTCCGATGCTCTTTGATGTTACATGTGTATGTTACTTTGCTACTGATACAACTCTTTAATTTATAATTTAATTCAAAAAGTCTTTAAATGAAGCTTGAAAATTAAATCTTTTCATGCAACAATTTTCATTAAATGCCTCTCAGTGTGCTTCAAGGTTCTTTGAACTTCTCAGAAAGGTCTAATTAAAAGTAGAAATTTTTATCCCGAAAAAGCATTTTTAGATACCAATGTTTATTAACATGATATGAAATAAGAAGTGATTAATGGATCTTTGCAAAGAACCTTGAAGCACATTGAGAGGCATATAATGAAAACTGTTGCATGAAAAGATTTAATTTTCAAGCTTCATTTAAAGACTTTTTGAATTAAGTTATAAATTAAAGAGTTGTCCTTCCTAGCTGAGGGTCGGGGTCCCTTAATAATACGTGGCAATCAAGATACATGAATTTTCCAAGAGAACTAAACCTTTTGGCGAAACCTGCTTGCAACAGAAAAAATTCAAGTTTATACCGACTGTGCACTACCTTCCAATAACAATCATCTTAGTACACGTATTTTTTTTTTTTTTTTTTAATTTTTTTAGAAATATAGTTAGATGCAGAGTATGGAGATGAAGGGGAGGGGGGGGGGGGGGTCACACATGCGCATTTTGCAGTGTGTGTCAAAATTATTTTTCTAAACCCAAAATAAGCATAAAAATGATAAATCAATAATCTAATTATTAAATATATTAAATTATAAAATAATAACTATTACTATAATTATTACATCAAAATTATTTTTCTAAACCCAAAATAAGCATAAAAATGCTAAATGAATAATCTAATTATTATTAAATTATAAAATAATAACTATTACTATAATTATTACATATCTAATTATATATAAAATGAAATCCTTTGAGCCGCCCACCTACGATTATCGGGTAAAATTATTATACGAGAGTAGTATTGTTAGTATTCTTAGCATTTTGTTCACACATGTCTCCTGTGCGGATTATTTAAAGTAATTTAATTATTCTGCATTGAAATCAATCGGGATCGGAGTGCTGATTATGCTGGTTCTCCGACCTTCAACTGAAATAAAAGGGAACCAAAGTATCTATGCTTTGAGAATGGGGTAGAAGAATGATTAAATCGGGGAAATAATCAAACAAAAACAATGCCATATCGTTATCTAATATGCACCCCAGCAAAAACTTTCTCAAATGGTAAGTTTTATGATGTGATGCATACCCAATGGACCAGATGATGGAAGTCCAAGAACAAGATCAGCTGTTTGTTGACCGATAGCGGTTAACGACCATGTTCGGGGGTCAAACTGTCAATTCTAAAGAGCTTCTTGAAATTCATATACACAAGTACAATTTCTACACGTTAATTTGTGTTTTGATAATGTTTACATAACTACAATTGTTCTAAATGTCCATATAAACAAGCCTAACTTCTCTATGTTTACCTCAAGGATATAGATTTCAGTGACCACATTTAGTCCTAAATTTCATCATTAATCAGTTTATTGTAATTTTGTTTAAAATATTTAGTTAAAAAAATACAAATCAGTGCTTCTAGCACAAACATTTGATTCTGAAATATTTTATTTAACCCATCATGCCCATAGTAAAAATAAGAACACAAGGTAACCAACTCCATATTTCACGGAGTACCCCCTCCCCAGAATTGCACTGATTTACACCTTCAGAAGAAAGGCATGGACAAACTGTTTATTATTGTTGTCTTCTACAATAATTTATGTACACAACCAATTATGGCTTGCTTCCCTTTATTGTCTTTAATCTCCATAAACGGCATCGGAACCAAGTGGAAAAGTCAAATCACCCTGTGTAATGGAAAGAATTATTAGCAGTTCAAAATTTTTTCATGTGAACTGATGAAAAATTCAACCCAAATCTCTTGAAGTTGGTTCATACATGTTGTCTAAGGAATTCACTATGTGAGTAACTCGATTATCATTGTGCTCGATGTATCTTAACAAGATTTTTTTTTATTCGTGTCTGGTATAAATGTGTGACATACCAGCAGGTTTGTAGACCAACTGTCTAGGTACACCAGTGTCCACATGTCTTTGTGTAGGACTGCCTAGGATTTACCAGATATCCCCTGTCTAGAGTTGTGGGGAAACAAAATGTGTGATAAGAGTAACATGTTTGTGTGAAGAGTTAAATATAGTAATGTTATTAGTTAATTGTAAGTGTTTGAAAATTGGTTCACATAAATCAGATATACAGTGAATCATTACATGATGAATATGTTTTTAATAATAATAATTCTTTGTTTATATCATGTATTTACATGATGTATGATATGTACATACTAAGAAATGATTTTTTTATTACAGAACTTATGAGAAAGTTGGTACCATTAGGATGTTGTCACACATCACAAGCACGGTAAAATCAATCCAAGGAGTATTATTTTTTAAATTCATTTTGTATTATTGTATCTTAAATTTTAATTTATATTGCATGTTTTCGTGTAATATCATTCTTAAAATCCCAGTTTTTGTTTAATTCTGTGGTAATTTATAATTTCTATAATAGTACACTGAATACAATAAATAGAATTTATTGGATGATGTAAGAAATTAAAGTCATACATATTAATAGATTTTTTGAAAACAGCATGTTTACTCAAAACCATGTTCTTTTCAGACCCTGTGGGAGTCGTTCACATAAGCGTCACTACTATACCAGTCATAAGTTAAACTCCAAGCTTACCCATAAGCCTCACTGGCACCTACCGAGTGAAAACAAACGACTAATTCAAAACTGTGATAATTACAAAACAAATTTTATCATACGCCGTGTTACCTATAGAAACTCGCAAGGAAATGATGTGCCATATGTCCGCGATTATCATATTTCGGCTTTACTCTTCAAAGACGAGAATAAGAAAGAAGTAAAAGATGTCAAAGGTCATGGAGCAACTGAAAGCAAAGATTCTCCTAAAGAGTCTGGAGCAAAGGGAGGTAAATCACCTACAGATGCCTCCTCAAAGGTGCCTAAGGAAAATGCGAAGGAGGTGGGACCACCAGCTAAGAAGAGTTTGGGAACCAGAATAATGAATGAACTGAAACACTATTATCATGGATTTAAGTTATTATTTAAAGAATTCAGAATGTCCACGAGATACATGATTGACGTTGTTATCTTTAGGAAATCACTCAAGAGGAGAGAAATCCAGCAGGTAAACAGTGAAAATTATGTCAAGAGTTGCCTTTCCTTGTCGTTAACAGGCATCAAAATCCCTCTGATTTGTCTAATGTCTCTTGTTAAATTATCAAGTTTACTCCAAATTTCTTACTTTTTTTTTTCCACTGAATCAAAACAGAAACAGCATTTATTTAGTTTTTGTTTTGTTTTTTGAAATAATCACTAGAGCATCAATTTTATAAAATATATAATTTAATAATTAAGAGATGTATGTGAATTGTATATGTTAATAACTCTTTGATAGAAATTTTAAGATGTGTAACTGTGATCAGTTCAATGCTCTAGATCAATTAGGACATACTGTATAATTTTGGCCTCTTTTTCATGATTGTATTATTCTTTCAGGAATTTCAGTAAATTTTCTGTTTTTTTAATTTTGCAGGTGATCCGTTCGACGTTTGATATTTTCCGCATTTTACCAATGATTGTTATGATTGTTATTCCCTTTATGGAGTTTGCCATTCCCTTTGTTATAAAATTCTTCCCAGGCCTCCTTCCCAGTACATTTCAACCTAAAAAGGTTTGTGTTCTTCATTTTATAAATACATGTACTGTGAATATACATAAATTATAAGTGCTCTCAAAATGTAGAGCATCTAAATTCTCTTTAAATTTACTGACAGAGGTAACTTTTCACCTCTGTTCACTATAATACATTTGTGTATGTTAAAGTCAGAGAACAGAGGGGATAAAGTGCCCCTGTGATTTAATCTAAAATGAGCACATGTAGAACCAAGCCTCTATATGTGTTTGTTTTAATCATGCATATCATATATATACCGGTTACTTGAAATAGAGGGGGGAAAAGAAGCGAAAGTGCTGAAATATCATTCTTATTTAAAAATTTAACTTATTTGTGTTGTACAGACAGATGATATGAGAATGAAGGTGTTAAAGGCAAAGATTGAGATGACAAAGAACATGGTGGAAACCATTAAGAATCACCCCCTGATTAGCAAGAAATCTGAGACCGCTGAGGACTTTGCTAATTTTGTCGCTAATGTAAGAGTTGTTTTTGTGTTATTTATGGTTTATGAACTAATCTTTTTTATTGTGGGTAGAATGGTTTTTGATAGGTGTAAGAAAATTTTCAAAATGGGGCTTTTAACATTCTCTGATTATATGTACTTTTCATACAAGAAAAGCCTGAAGATATACCTCAAACTTTTTTATTAATAAACTTGGCAATGGTTAGAATGGCAAAATTTACAATCATGTCATAAAGAGTATTCATGATTTTATGCACATATGCTTACAATGTTATGTGATGAATAAAATGATGTAATTATTTTTTTCTTGCAAAAGGAGTTAAAGAAATGTTTATTTTTTTTCCTCATTTTATACCTACATGTAAAGTGTTTTAGATATAGAAGGATTGAAATCAAAGATAAATCTTTTACTTCTTTGAAAAAGTTATACTCTTGCAATATTTTGTACATGTATTTCTCTGTTTTGATGTCGTAAAAGTCTGCATATATTGCTGTTACACCAACAGGTTCGAAACAAAGGCATTCAGCCTACCACCGAGGAGATCATGAAGTTCTCCAAGTTCTTTGAGGACGAGTTGACCTTGGAGAATTTAAATCGACAACAGCTGCAGGCCATGTGTCGTATCCTTGACCTCCCACCCATGGGAATGGACAGCTTTCTCAGGTTTTCGCTCAGAATGAAACTCAAACGGCTCAAGTTAGACGATAAGGTAAGATTGTATTTTTAGGTTTTATCTTTTGATGTTGGACAACTTTTTTAAAAGTATAAATAAAATGAAAACAGAAATTGAGCAATATGCACTGAAATTCTCATTTTATTTGAAAAAAAAGAAATTTTAAAAGGCAATTCTTTTTTCTTTCATATAATATTAGCATGTACATATATGATAAGAGTGAAGCAAACATGTAATTTTTCATGAAATTTAACACACAAAAAAACATGTATTTTGTAAAATAGCATTGCCATTCACTAATTAATTTCATTCCTACTATAATGTATTTTATCCTTTCCTAGTAACTATTTTCTAAATGACAACATGACCTTCTTTTCTGTAGATGATCCAGCAGGAGGGAGTTGACAGCCTCACGATCCCTGAACTCCAGGCAGCTAATCGTGAGCGGGGGATGAGGGCCCTTGGGGTGTCTGAGGCTCGCCTGAAGAGCCAGTTACAGCAGTGGCTGGACCTCCATCTAGAGAAAAACATTCCCTCCTCACTTCTCCTGTTCTCCAGGGCGCTGTATTTACCGGAGACACTGTCAACAGAAGAACAGCTGAAGGAGTCTATCATCAATCTACCAGAGACCATGGTAAGTTAATGGTTAACTTGTACAGGAAAAGTTCTTAGAAACAGTCAATTGTTAATTTGTTCTAGGAGAGTTCTGAAAAATAAGTCTACAGTGCTGCAGATTAGAGGATAATATGCATAAACTTGCATACTTCTTTTGTTTGCTAATTGATAATAATATATGGTTAAGTTGGTTATATGAAAAGATACACTCTTTAAAACTGCTCGAATTCAATGCATATAAAGTTTTGTTGTACACTCAATGACAAATTTTAGTAAAGTCAAATATCATTTCAATCATTTAAATACCATTTCATAGATGTGTTGCTCTCACAATACATGTACAAGTACAATGAATATTTTTCTGTCTAAAAATGAGATTGGAATAACTAAAAACTAAGGTTTGAAAAATATATACTGTGCACTATGAAGAGTATACTGTAAATGTATTATATTTAGCGTGTATGATATTTGGCGAAAATTGACTTTTGAATAAGTTAGCGTAGATTTGATAAAGCGCATTTCTTCATATTCTTATTAATGTGTATATGTGCAAGACATTTAGCGTTGTACTTGATTTAGCTGTTGCTGCGTTCCGCCAAAGCCGCTAAAAAGAATACACAGCCAAATGTAATACGTTTACAGTATTGTAGTGGATTGTCTTTAACTTAAAAGTAATGTAATCCTTGTAGACATCTAAAGAGAAGATTGCAGAAGCTCAGGCCCTGAAGGAGAAAGAGAAAGCAGAGAAAGAGAAAGCTGAGAAAGAGAGAATTCCTGAGGTGGTTCCTGAGAAGGTTGTTGAGGTTCCAGAGGTGCCACCAGCACCACCTACTCCTGAGGAGGTGCCCATTCCTGTGGAGGAACCAGCCACAGGAGTCAAAGGTCTGGCCGCCAAATTACAGAGCAAGCTGGCGGACTTCAAACAGAAAGTGGATGAATACGACAAAGAGGCCACGAAGAAACGCGTGCTGAAGATCTGGAAGCTGATCCGCGAGCTCGGAGAGGAGAATAGGAGGGAGCACAAGAAGTTCTTTGAGGAGTATAAGGAGTATCTGAAGGAAGGAGAGAAGCCGGAGAAGGTGGTGGCTGAGTCAGGGAAGAAAGCCAAGGTACCCAAACCCACAGAGGAGGAAAAGAAGGTTAGTTGGGATACCGTAAACTTACTATTGTTTACCTTCCCTATGCTCGATTCATTAAGTATATCAAAGAATACTATTTCTCACCATTGAAGTAACTGTTTCATATATGCGTATTTAAAGATATGGTTTGCAGCAAGAAATCTTTGTAAATATAGGAAGGTTGCAAAACTTGGGAGTAATTAAAGTTGGCAAAATGGTTTTGTTCCAAATGATTATCTAAATTGTGTAAAAATGCAGGAATTCCAAAGACATGTACATGTACTTAAAATGAATTTAAAGATATCTTCTTACAATTGTTTTTATTGTAGGCCATAGCGACAGCTGAGGCAATTGCTGCAGAATCTCTAATGACTGCAGAAACCCAGACAGATCCCGCCATGATGATGGAAGCTCAGCCAGGAGAGGGTAAGGGGTTCTATTGATAAAACCGTTGTAGATCATAAGTCTTAAGATATCTCTATATATAAATGTGTAAGTCATCAGTATTTGTTTACAAGTAAGCCTTCCACTGTTCAAGCAATTTGCGTGGAAATTTCTTTGTAATTATAAAGATGTAACCTTGTGTCTATGTTAATGTCTATCTCTAGGATCATATGAGGAATGACTAGTGGGGCTTTCTTAATCTTTCAAGAATGTCTAGTATTGCTTACAAACTGGTGAAAGATATATGTTCTTTATGCTAAATGCTTGACTTTAAAGTTTTTGCTTATGTTGTGTGTAGAATTGAAGGACCTGGATGAGGAAATCACCACAGAAGACCTGGAAGATTTGGAGGATGCCATCATTGAGGCAGCCAAGGAGAAATCCGTGGATCTCGAGAAGGAAGAGAGGGAAGAGGAGCTGGAGGATTGTGAAGAGGTAGGTGGAAGATCCACTGTATGAAGTGGATGATTTACTGTAGTAGGTGGATGATCCATTGTTGTTGATGATCCACTGCATTAGATGGATGATCCATTGTAGAAGAAGTTGGATGGTTCACAGAATTAGGTAGATGATCCACTGTAGTGGGTTTATGATCCATTGTAGTAAGTAGATGATTCATTGTAGGAGATGGATGAATAAAGTATCACATTCATTTACTGCAATTTTCTTTTGTTTCCTTTCTGAAGTTGTACGTTAATAAGATCACCAGAAAATTATATCACTTGTCTTGAATGGCATTTTATCAAATGAAATAATTAAAAAGTTTTTTACAATCATAGAAGACAGAAAGTACATAGTCTTAAGAGTGTAAAATACTTAAACTCTGTATACTTCTTCCAAGGAAGTCAGTAATAAAGAAAAGGGTTTAAATTCCATACATGTAAAACATGCTATGATTCATAAAAGTTGCCCTTTTTTATTCTTTTTTAGGATGTGGACGAGTTAAAAGCAGTTGTCCTCCAAGAAGGAGATGTAGATTCTAAGAATGCCAGCAAGCTCTGGAAGATGGTCAACCGAGCCGTGGACAAACTGGACAAGCAGATTGACGAGTTCCATGACCAGAAGGACGAAATTCAGGTGGAGATCGACACGCGGGAAGTCCGCCTTAAGAAAAGTCCCGAGTTACAAACAAACCTCGAAAAGAGGGAGGAGATCCTCTCAGAACTCAAAAAGAGAAAGTAAGTGAAACTTAGGGTCTATACCATTATTGAAGTCTGTACCATTTTTTTACCATAAATTTAGAATTAAAATAGAGATAGAATTTATTTTTAATGTCAAAGGATTCTTTTATATTATTTCCTAAAGGAAATTGTGTTCTATATGAACGAGGTGTTACTTGTAATTTTAATTAGTGTTGGAAATCTGTGATCAGCATAAATGAAATATTACTTATTCTGACATTTATTTGTCTGTATGAAATCTGTGATCAGTATAAAGAGATGTTACTGTTTGTTACTGATTATTACTGAGTATGATGTTAATTTCTCTGTAAGAAATCAGTAATCAGTATAAACGAGATGTTACTGGCTATTGCTGATTCTGACATTACTTTATCTCTGTAGGAAATCTGTGATCAGTATAAACGAAGTGTTACTGATTGTTACTGACTTTTACTGACTATTTTGTTAATTTCTCTGTAGGAATTCTGTGATCAGTATAAATGAGATGTTACTGGGTATTACTGATTCTGACATTACTTTATCTCTATAGGAAGTCTGAGCAGTATAAACGAGGTGTTACTGATTGTTACTGACTTTTACGGACTATTTTGTTAATTTCTCTGTAGGAAGTCTGTGATTAGTATAAACGAGATGTTGCTAATTGTTACTGACTTTTACTGACTATTTTGTTAATTTCTCTGTAGGAAGTCTGTGATCAGTATAAACGAGATGTTGCCGATTGTTACTGACTTTTACTGACTATTTTGTTAATTTCTCTGTAGGAAGTCTGTGATCAGTATAAACGAGATGTTGCTGGCTCTGAAGCGGATTAAGAAGATCCCAGATGATGTGAGAACACAGAAGATTCTACAGGTGTTGGATGAAGATCGAGACGGAAGGATTGAGCTTGTCCATGCACTCAAGGTACTGCCACTAAAGATACCTTTACTGCATTTAAAATGTATTAATTTAAGGTAGTCTAATCCTCATTTTGAAAATCAGTAGTTAGAGTGACTGAGAATGCTCATAAAAAAACCCTCTGAAATCACAGAGTAATCCGTATTTACCCATGGTATTTCTTCAAAGTTTATCATTGTTGTTAAATCATTATATAGGGAAAGTTATCAGATCTGAAAAAATCTTCAGGATTTGTGAATGAATGCACCAGTTATGCATTTTCTAGTTGTAAATCGATCAATTAATTTATTTTAGAATAAAAAATTAAAGTTATCAATGTTTTTGGAAAAATCTGTGTTTTTATACTAATACAAAGGTAGTTTGTTAGTTCTTCTATTCCATATTTACTGCATGAAAAGATTTGAATTTCAAGCTTCAGTTTGAGACCTTTTTAGCAAAATAACAATTATTTTAAGAGTTATCCTTCCTGGTTGAGAAGCAGATATCTTCTGAAGTTTTGACTCTTGAAGTTGCTTTTTAAAATACTTAAAATTAGGGTAGGATACTTTCAGGAAAAATTATATAGAGTATGATGTTGAGATATTTCATTTGTATTGTCAATTAGTATTGCTATATATATGTAAAATTTTAAAGAGATTAATAAAAATATTTTTTGTGTACATATATACAATGAATGCTCGATTCTTGCTAGTAATGCATATAATACATTTACAGTACTTGTTATCTATATACAAATAATAAACTACAAGTTAAATTTTTCAGCACAAACTTTTCTAATTACTTGTCTTCTATTTTCAAAAGAATAAACAAGTTAAATTTTCAGCAGTTATAATAAATCTGCTACATTGTAATCATAATTGAATGCCTTGGTGCATGGCATAGTGTTTAGCGGAAGTTACCAATTTACAGTGATACCTTTTTATGTACATGTATATATATAATTTACAATTTTATTTTGTTTAGGTGATAGAGTTACTTGGAAAGGACAATATGAAACTGAACCCTAAACAAGTTTCCGAGGTGACAAGGCTCGTGAAAAAGGAGCTACTTCAAGAGGAAAAGGAAACATTAAAAGACAATGCAAAGACTCTGAAGACTGAAGAGCTCCAATCTAAGAATGATAACTCTAGCAAGGAAAAGGATGAAAGTGACAAAAAGCAGGAAAAACAGTCATGAAAAGGATAAAAAGACAATTCATTAAAAATTGTGTTCAAATGTTCCAGAATAATTTGATGGAGGGCCATAGTGTTTTTCATGCAAACTGATTTTGACCCATTTTGCCCTTATAGGTTTAAATGTTTTTATAATTATAAATGTTGCATAAATCAAGTGAGTGACTGCAACAGCATTTATTAAGGAATATAGCAGTGGTATATGTAATTGAATTCTGAATGTCTTGTAGCACTTAATTTACATGCTATGATAAGGCATGTGCTGCCAAGGTATGGGGAACTGTTATTGAATAGATGCTATTTCTCTCACATATTTTACATTTGATAAGGTATTTTACTTTTTATGAAATCAAATTTCATAGGAACATGTTAATAGAGTCTATTTGTAATTCATGAAAATTGTTTTGTATTTCCATGAATGATAAGTCATGTGCTTTGTTTAGGTTATTAACAATTAGATGCTTGTCTCAGCTTATAAAAGAAACATTTTTTGTATGAACAAAACAAAAAATTACTGGACAAACTGGACTTTGTCCAGAGATGTTAGAAGTAGATGTATTCGACATATTTGGTTAACTTCTGCAGAAATTAATTAATAGTACATGAGAAAATATTTTAGATGTTAAATTATTTTAATCAAAATAAGACAATGCATGAGGTATGATGTCAGTGAAAAACAAATGTAAAATTTCAAAACTTTTTTACATAATATGAGAGGATTATAAATCTGTCCCTGTCTTTCATTACTCAGTCAATAAAAGAGTGCTATAAAAATTATATGATTTTTTCTTCTTATATTAGATATACTGTAACCTATATTAGGTATATGGTACAATCACATATTTTTGTGGGGGCAATTTTCAAGGATTGAGGAAAAATATTGGTATGTGGGGACTTGATTTCAAGGATAAAGAAATGTGTGTAGTTATATATATTAGGGAATTCTACATTTTGTGTTGGACAAAAACTCGCGGGTCTCATTATACCTCGAAAACAACAAAAATTAACCCCCCACAAAAATTACTGATTTCACAGTATCTTAAGAAAGAACACGTTGAAGAACAATGTGGTAACAACAATTTTCTTTTTGTTATTTGTGTGTAAAATGTAGAATCATCAACATGATCAAACTTTGTGAGTTGTGGTAAAACAGGAGTAAGACAGTAAATAGAAACAAAATTTAGTCACAACAGGAGAAAATCTGCAGCAACAATAATCCTCTGAAGATCAAAAATGGATATACATGTATAAATAAGCATATTATTTTCGTGAACAGAAAAATCCTGAACTTTCACGATTATATGTAATGATTATCCTCTTTGATTAAACCATCCCTGAAAATCCTGTCAGTCCCTGACATTTTCCTGTTTCTCCCTGACTTTCTCCTGTAACTCCCTGAAATAGTCCTTGACCACCATGTTTACTCACTGACATCCCCTGATATAATCTCTGCTACCCCTGTAGACTTCCTGAAGTGCCCTGAAATTTCTAAGTCCCTGGGGTTCGTCTTACAAAGGAACTTACGACTAAGACAAATTTTTAATTTTGTTTATAAATTTTTAATTCACATTACATTCAAATGGTTTTAATCTTTTGGAAAGAAATGTAGCAAGATACTTTCACGTTGGCTATATTAGACAAGATCATTAATTTAGCAAAATTTTTAAACAATTCAAGATTTAGGTCTTAGTCGTAAGGTCTTTTGTAAAATGGGCCCCTGACTTAAAAACCCCGTGGATACTCTGTGATCACCTGAATTTCTTTTAGTTCAGAAAAAAGCAATAAAAATATATTTATACCCCCCTCCCCCCCCCCCCCCCTTTTTCAAGTCCCCATTGAAAGTGGGAGGGTATATAGTGATCGGGATGTCTCTCCGTCCATCTGTCTATACATCCCTGATCTGTCTGAACATCCATCTGTCTGTTAAGCCTTTGGGTACCCATCTCTTATATGCAACTCCTCTTATACCACTGAAAGAAATTTAATGAGGCCTTCACAAAGAAAAAAAAACTTTGTTACATAGTGTCAGTGTGTACCTTCTATTTTACATTTTGATCCGACACATATTGTGGGTTTCCCAAAATAAAACATTGACACTGCTATTCTTTCAATGATATTGAAGGATATACCCATCTTTTATCCGCAACTCTTCCTACACCACTGAATAAAATTAAATGAAACTTTCACAGATTCTTTATTACACAATACCATTGTGCACCTTCTATTATACCTTTTGATCTGACACTTATTTTGGGTCTCCCAGAGCAAAACATGGACTTTGCTATTATAATCATATGTGAGGTATCATGTAGCTGAGTGCTCTCAGTAGCTCTATCTAGTCTTATTGGTATTTGATGGTGAGAAATATCTTAGACTTGATACCAAATACAGGTTCTGATTTTGTATCAATAGCATTCTATACTGTCAACATGAGTTAGTACGTATTCTTTAATGGATGCAAAACAAAGAGATGATGAGGAAATCATATTCAGGAGAAATGTACAATGCTTTTAGTATGTTTTGACTTTTTTACAACACAGTGTAGAAATCAGATTTTCCCCCAATGATTCATCATAAATAATTTATACAAGAAATTGGAGTTGTTATTCAAAGGCCTGTTGACTACCTATTTTTTAATCACAATTTAATTGATGGAACCTTACAAAGTTGTATTATAGCAGAAATAATTAGTTTGTAAATTATTATTTTAACTGTAAAGAGGCGAGAATCCATTCAAAGGTCATAGTTGACATGTAAAAAAATTGATCATTTGTGTATTTAGAATGCAGACCTTGTAGCAAGCAAAACAACACAAATTTTTGTATGGCTTTCCTTTGATATGACGATTCCCGTCCGTCTGTTAGATAATTAAATTCTCATGTATTGTTTATACATTGTATCTTTCACATGTGAAACTAAATTCATCAAAATGTTCTAGACATCTAGTTTTTATGAAAATCGTTTTTCATCATATTGGAAAATGATCGAAATATGCATAACAAAATACTAGATGAATTTTAAATGGATTTGAGAATTAATATTATTGAAAAAAAGTGCTTTTAATTTTAATTATATTACAATTTAAGTATAATTTGTCGCTAGCATTATATACTTAAGGTAGATTTTCCCCTGCTAGCCATCCATGAAATATTTTATACCCGCAACCAATCGTATGAATAAATTTGAACAGGTTATACTTCTAATTTTGATTTAAAAAAATTAAATCGAGGCAGATCAATGTTTTCCTGTCAGCAAATCAATTTTAAGCTGAATTCGGTATACACCGGAAATTAATTAAAAAGAGAAAATCTTAAATAAAGTTATTGTTCATTTACAAAATGCACCACGTCGCTGTGTGAAAACACCAAAAAGCATGGAGTGGTACCACGGTTTGTTCCTGATTGTCAGCTTAGGTAAGTATGGCGAAATTATTTGAGTTTTCAACTGAAAAATATGAATCGTATGGGAAGTTAAATATTTCCTCATATCATATTTTATGTTTTTTTTTAACTGATTGTGGTATTTTTTATTCTTTACATTACTGCATTTTTAAAAAAGAAAATGAAGTAAATTTTAATTGATTTACTTTTTTGAAGTATTTTTACTTACGTCGATATATTCTTAGGGATTAGGGTGAGGGCTAAAATAGGCTTTTCCTGCTGCCCAAACCCATTCACTTTTATTTGTTAATAAATATTTGTCAAAATAAAAAATATTCTAAGCTTTTGTCTGAATTTTTTTTCCATCATACTTTTTGTATCAAACTTCTAATAATAGATTCTCAGATGTTTGAAAAACGATACTAAAGTCTGTCCCACCAAGTTACTGTAAGCACTTTTCGTATAAAATCTCAAAATATATAAATACCTTGGCTTTCAACCCAGTTCCGATCGATAGATCATTTTTTTTCCAACCTTCCGCCGTTTATCCGAACCCTCGAGGTCAACCAGTGTATACACACGGCGGCAAATTCAAAGTCTACGGAGATTTAACATGGTAAACTCGTCCATTAGCGTCCAGATTACGGGGCCGGGAACCAGTTTTCGAAGGGAGTAGTCGTCCTTTGCAAAGTAAATTTCCAAAAAATCGTTAAAAATTCAAGGAATTAATTTAAATTGCTTTTATCGATAATATAACTTTTACTTTGAATTAAAATAAATTTTAACAGCATTTAACAAATTTAATTATAAATTACGAGAAAATAGTCCGAATCTAACGAAGTACAACTTGTGGATAATGGCTGTTGGCATGATGATGCAAGCTTGCCAGGCGCAGTGTTTAAAACGTAAGTTGTTTATATATTCTGTGGTACTTTTTGCAGCTGTTGTTGTTTTCCTAGCTTATATACACACAAGAAAGAAGTGTCTACAAATGCTAAGAATATAATATATATTTCAAAACGCGTGATATTGCTGACATTAGAACAACAGCTCTCTTGTTTGTGCTCATGGTTAACCGTTCGTGTTCAGTAACGGTCTGAATGTAAGCCCATGTGTGGAAAATGAAAAGGGGTGTTTCTATGATTATAAAAGAACAGAATATAGTTAAACAATTAGGTGAAATAATACCAAAAAGAATATAACAGCTAGTTAACTTCGTAACTAAAGTTTTAAAATTTTATTCCTACTTTCATTTTCAATTTATAACATTTCATGTACATACTACATGCATTTGGCAAATAAATAATAAGCTAGAGATCTAAAGTGCATTTTTATTTTTTCATGTATGTGTAGTATCAACACCCTGGGGACATCAAAACAGTTTTCAATAGATGACACATTTTGGAATTATTTTTCAAAACTTTTTATAATATTAAAATGTGCATGTAATTTTTCATCAAGTCTTTGGATTGAGTTCTATAATGGTCATTTATGTACATGCATGCATATTGATGAATTAATTAGCAGAACCAGACATAAAGTAGATGAATATGCACATACTGACTACTGTTTCAGAAAATAATGATTTGTCTTGACCTTGCAGTTTAAATGAGAAAGTAATTATATATGTAGTATTCATGAAAGGAAAACAGAAAAACTAAATAGAAGAACATGTCTGAATAGTTTGATCAGCACAAGAAGTTAAGATAGGCTTCATCTAAGTACAGACTTTAAAATAAAATTGATATACATGTAACATCAGAGGGAATCTTCCATTACCCGGTTATACTAGCTGTCATGCACATATTCAGAGTTCAAATTCTCAGTCTGGTCATCTCGAAAAAAAAAATTTTGATTGCCCTGTCCCAACCAACTGGCTAAAATGACTCAAAACTTTTTTTTTATCTCCAGGAAGCAATTAACTTTTTTTGTATTCTGGAGAACACATTATTTATTTATAATTACCGGTAATTTTTCTGAGAATAATTTTCTCATCTACCTGTATACCAACCTAATCCTGAGTTGGGAGAGGGCAGGCCTCAACAGCATTGTTTTTTCTGTAAAGTCCTATACTGCTCAAATGTGAACTTAATTTGAAAATTTCTGTTTCCTTAATTCCAAGATTTTCATTTAAAGTACTTGTTTTTAAAAACCGTAGAGCATAATTAAAATATTTTTGTTTGATGTACCCTGACACACATTTTTCAAGGTGGGTAGGTAGGTATCTTTTTTTGGCTTAATAATATTGATCAAATTGATATCAAAGTGTCATTAAAAAATTCCAGACTCAACAGAAATTTATTAATATTTTCAATACACACTGGATATCTAGACAGATGAAATATATATTGTTAAAAAATTATTAATCTAAAAGTATCCATTAGAAATCACATACCACAATTTTAAAAGGAAACAGTATCTATTTCTAATAAATAAAACAATTTTTTTTTTAAATCAAAAATTCAAAGTGCTGAAAAAATGATTGAGTTGGGGTATTTTTGATGGGTCAGTCTGAGTACATCAAAGAAATTTGTTTATATTGTTGCCCTTATTTGCTAGTACTGTATTTGGTTGACTTGAACTTTGACCTACTTTACAAAGATACCCCAGAAACTTTAAATTAACTAAAGAGTTTTGAATATTGAGTGATGTATGTTGATAATTAACATTAATTTTATACATGTTTATGAGCTCATAAAACTGTTCTTTTAAACTATATGATATTCAGTAAACCACAAAAACTGATATCTTTATATTATGAAAATACATTGGGATGGAATCTCACAAAGTGGATCGTGCAATGTGACAATTGCTTTGAAATATGTAACACATGTAAAATGATAAATAATTATTTATGATGATTTCAACTTAATTATTCAGTTGAGGGTTGCATTCTGTATATGCTAGTAGCATAAAAATAGCTGACCACTTTTAGATTTTATAGATACATCTTTAATTAAAGAAGCTAAAAGCAGGTGACATATGTGTTCCTTGGAACACTTTAGTTTGTAATGATATTGATGTCCTGTACTCTTTTATAACTCTTTCTCTTCTTTCAGCAATGTTAAGCTTGATTTAACCACTGCAGTATAAGGAGAGAAGCAGACCAGAAACCCTGACTAAAGTAAAGATGATTTGCATAACAAAGGCAGTAAGTTTACCATATAATATTCAAGATCTTCAAAATATCCCGTCTCTTTTAAATACATGTATTGAGAATGATTTGTTGAAGCTCAGCACCTGTCAGATGTGACTGAATACATGTTACATTTTTCCCTCATCATTCGTAATCTTCTTCCAAAGAACCACTGGCCAGAAAAGTTGAAACTTATGCAGAAGCATCCTGGGGTAGTGTAGATTCTAAATTATTTAAATGACCCTTGGGGTAGGGTGGGACTACGATAGGGAACCCAACTTTTACATTGAAATATACAAGAAAAATCTATAAAAAAAAATCTTCTTTGGCATTACCAGTACTAGGCAAGCAAAGCTGAAACTTATGCAAAATCATTTTGGGGTAGTGTAGATTTTAAATTGTTCAAATTATGACCCCAGGGGTTAGGTTGGGTCACAAAAGGTATAACAAGGGGGAAATCTGGTAAAGAACTGCATCGTCAAAGCTATTCAGGTAATTATAAGTGATGTGGCTCATGAGCCTCTTGTTATATAAGTTGTGATATTTTACAGAAAATTTGAGAAAATATTAACTGCAAATCTGTGTCTAAGCACCTGTAATACTGCACTATCTCACCATTTGAAAGAATAAACAAACATTGATAAAAAAATGTAATTATAACTGAAGCATAGAATATTTGATTATACTTTTATTGCTTACTAAATTATGTTTTTATAGGATGAATAAATCACAAGAGTCCAAAGTTTTGATGACCATGCAGAGTCGAGATATTGAAACAAAGACATGCCTGCACTGTTCACTCAATTTTTCAGAATAACGTGTCAGATTGAAAACCATTTTATGTTGGACTAAACAATCAGGACATTTTTCTGGATCACAGGTTGTAAGTGTTTACATTGTATATGAATGAGAAAGATTTTGCTCTTCCTATGTATACTTCAGATTGAAACCTGAAAATGAGAATTGACCAAGTATATGTATTTTTGATAAGTAAACAATTCATATTAATATGATGAGCACAATCTGAATTTTTATTGTATCTTTATATTTCACTTTGCACAAATTTAAAAGTATTTTTTATGCACTGAAATCTTTATGACGATTTAAAATGTTTTATCATTAAATTTTTTTTCAGGCACAAAGTATTGACAAAATCAAAGATTACCTGGTATTCTGCAAATGGAGTGATCATTGGATGAGCCAGACAACACCATTTTCCTCAGAAATTTTAGAATAGAGGCAATCTCCATCTTCATAGATGACTGATGTTGACATTTTCTCACTTCTGTTTCATGTCTTTTCTACAGCATGGACTCCAGCATCAGTGGGCACTTGACAATTATTCTTCTTATTTTGTTCTAATATCCTTAAATATAGGACAAACAATTCATTTATCTTTTAAAATATTGTTAAATTTTACTTAATAAAACGATGAAAACAGTGCAAACAAACTGGTTTATCCTATAATCTAAAGCTGTTTTATGTCTCGAGCATTTATAATTTTACGAGACTTATTAAAAATCTGTTAAGGTACTTGGATTCTCAGCCAAGAAGGATAACTCTTTAATTTATAATTTAATTCAGAATCTCAAAATGAATCTTGAAAAATTAAATCTCTTCATGCAACAGTTTTTATTTTATCATGATAATGTTTATAACTTCTCAATGTCCTTTAAGGTTGTTTGAAGTTCTCAGAAAGTTCTTGTAGAAAGTTGAAATGTTAACCTAATATAGTAAAACTCTGTTAAGGAAAAGTCAATGGGACCTATGAAAATACTTTGCTTTAACCATAATTTGTTTTATCCGTATAAGGAATTCATTAATTTACATAGCTGGGGATCCAAGGTTACCTCGCTATATCTGTGAATTCGCAATATCTGTGTTCATATTTAGACAAATTTTTGATATAAAATCTCTTACTTAAATAAGAATTTTACTCTTAATTCACACAAATAAACAGAAATAATGATTTGACATTTGAGGGCGAGACAGCCCCATGACAATGGGCCGAGACAGAGATATCTCAGCCCCAAGGGAGAGACAGCTCTACTCGGGCCCAAAAAAATTATAGTCTTGTTTCCTGTTACCCAACCTACCTTAATTTTTCGCACCTGACCCTACAGTTTTTTAGGTTTGGAAAAAATCTGGAATTTCTGTAATTTCATGTTCCATGTTCTAAAACTGAAAAAAATAATGTATATTCAAGTGGTATTTTATGATACTACCGGGTATATGTTTTAAATATGGACTTTCATAACATACTACTTGAGTCATGCATCAAAAGACAAAATTTAATTTGTAATGAAAATATTGGTCTATGACATGTTTAATTTGGTGTTGTATTAGTTCATATCGAAAATAAAAAGAAATTAAAAAAATAAAATAATTTTCCTGCCTACCTACCCAATTTTTTTTCAGGCTGGTAGCAGGAAACAGGATAATTATTTTTTGGCCTTACAAGGCACTGTCTCACCTAGTCCAAAACATCTGTATCAGAGCAGATACACTACTAGGTATATGATATAGGCATATATGCATGTTTGCGTACTAGGGAACGGTCAATGAATAAACTTACTTATAAAATTTACAAATACAAAAGGAAACTAGTGCTAATTGTAACGGGGACCGTTACAGATGTTCCCCAAACGCTCCCCAAATCCCTTTTTGTGCCTAATTCCTGTAAGACATTTTTAAAAATATGATCAGTATCGAAGGATTTCATCAAAGAATTATAGAGGCTACAATGCTATCAACTATATATCATTTAACGCATTGAACGCGCACGCACGTGTATGCACATGCAAGATGATTACGGCATGTTGTCTAAACCATTAACATTACTTTATATCGTGAGAATCAATAAAAAATCATAAAAATATAAATGTTACCGTTTTTTAGATGAATTGCATGCATGCATGTTCGTGCATTTATTTTGATAGTACCATAATAAAGGAATCCATTATAGCTATTCATATTCTAAATTTTATCCCGTTTCGTTGAAAACTAAGAAAGTTATACACATTTAAAGTTTCAGCTAATCAGATTGCAGCAATCGTGCATGCGCATGCTTTTCATGATATTTCTTAAATATCATGCTGTAGATCTTTATGATTTATAACCATGTTCAAAATTTCAAAGGATTTTGTCGAAAAACAAGAAAGATATTGAGACTTTAGTTTCAGCCAATCAGAGCAAAGCGCACGTGCATGCGCGTGAAATCTTGCCATTTTGACCATGTCCTCTTGTTTAAGCTTCTAATATATCTTTATATTATGAGTTTCAAAGCATTTCATAAAAAAATTAAATAGTTACGTCTATATCATGTATATAAGACATTTCTCATGTTGCATGTGCACGCTCTTGCAAGCACACGTGCATGCAAATGCTTTCATGATAATTCTTATATATCAGGCTGTAGATCTCCCTAATGTATGACTATGTTTAAAATTTCAAAGGATTTTATCAAAAAACAAGAAAGATATAGAGACTTTAGTTTCAGCCAATCAGAGCAAAGCGCACGCGCATGCGCGTGAGATCTTGCTATTTTGACCATGTCATCTTGTCTTTGCTACTAATATATCCTTATATTATGAGTTTCAAAGCATTTCATCAAAAATTGAAAAAGTTATGGCTATCATTTCACGTGTTGCACGTGCGCGCTCTTGCAAGCACGTGCGCGCAAAATGACCTTCGTTCGGCACATCTACATAACATGTCTACTGACCCTAAAAACATTTCACCTTAGTCGGATGTGTAGTTTACGAGATCATTCGCGGACAAAAAAGTGCCCAGGAAGAAGAAAAATAATAATAACTAGTGCTAATTGTAACGGGGACCGTTACAGATGTTCCCCAAACGCTTCCCAACTCCCTTTTGGTGCCATATTCCCTATAAGCTTCATTAAATAAGACAAACTATGCATTTGAGACTTTAGCAACGTTTACCCAGAAGTGTACCAATTTCATTCAAATTTTAGCATTGCACGCGTGCGCATGTGAATGCACGTGCGTAATGACTATATGATCTTGTCTTAACAATCTATAGATTTTAATATACTAAATATCAAAGTATTTGATCCAAAAGTATTTAAAAATACGCTAATTCAATTTTTTTTTTATTTTACTCATTTCACGTGCACGCACGTGCTCACATGAGCATGGTGACCATACTTTCTTGTAGAAGTCCATTACATCTATCTATGTTCTAAATCCCACCCTGTTTGGTTGAAAACCAAGGGAGTTATAGCTGTTCAAAGATTCAGCCAATCAGATTGCAGCGCACGTACATGCACATGTATGCATGTGCATGTTGACCATATATTCTTGTAGAAGTCCATTATATCTATCAATGTTCCAAATCCCATCCTGTTTGGTTGAAAATCAAGGGAGTTATAGCTATTTAAAGCATAAGCCAATCAGATTGCAGCGCACGTGCTTGCACGCGTTTTCATGATAATTGCTATATATATTATTGTAGGATATCCTAATACATGCCTATGTTTAAAATTTCAAAAGATTTTGTCAAAAAACAAGAAAGATAATGAGACTTAAGTTTCAGCCAATCAGAGCGAAGCGCACGTGCATGCGTGTGAGATCTTGCTTTTTTGACCATGTCATCTTGTCTATGCTTTTAATATATACTTCTAATATGAGTTTTAAAGCATATCATCAATAATTTAAATAGTTACGTCTGTATCAATTATATTGGACATTTCTCGTGTTGCACGTGCGAGCTCTTGCAAGCACACGTGTATGCACATGCTTTCATGATATTTTTTTAATACGGGCTGTAGATCTCCCTAATGTATGACTATGTTCAAAATTTCAAATGATTTTATCAAAAAACAAGAAAGATATTGAGACTTTAGTTTCAGCCAATCAGAGCGAAGCGCACGTGCTTGCTCGTGCGATCTTGCTATTTTGACCATGTCGTCTTGTGCATACTACTCATATATCCTTACATTATGAGTTTCAAAACATTTTGTATAAAAATAGAAAAGTTACGGTTATATCCATTATATATTGGTCATTTCAAGTTTTGCACGTGCGCGCTCTTGCAAGCACGTGCGCGCAAAATGACCTTGATTCCGCAAATCTACATAACATGCCTACTTACCCTAAAAAGGTTTCACCTAAGTCGAATGTGTAGTTTACAAGATCACTCGCGGACAAAATTTTCCCAGGAAGAAAAATAATAATAATAAGAATAATAATAATAAGAAACAGAGTAAAAACAATACGTTCCCCAACTTCGTTTGGGGAACATAATAAGAAACAGAGTAAAAACAATATGTTCCCCAACTTCGTTTGGGGAACATAAAAAAATTGCTGGGACTCAAAAATCAAACTCAAGAAACCTGCATTATTTCATACCTTCAATATATATGTATCTGCAGGTACTTATGGCTTAACATGTATAATGTACATGTTTGTGCTTTTCTATCTTGTAGTTGCACCAGGCAGCTATTCAGATTCCTGCAATGAAAATTTTTGTGCTGAAAACTCATAAAAATTAGAAGGCTTTCTGTTAAATTGTTTTATTGAAATAGGGAAAGGAAAAAAAATTATAATATATTTTTAAAAATCATAATCCTTCACACTTGCATTCTGTATTTTAATTTTATGTGTATAGGAATATTTTAAATTTTGGTATTCTGTTATATTTAAGGTAAACAAAAATGTATATCCTGGGTCTGAATTTACCTAATACCGATACATTACAGGAAGGTTTGGAAGGGCAAGGTCAAAATTCATTGGTGACGTAGTTTAATTGATGCAGACAACAAACGTTGTTTTGCACCGAGATTAAAAATAAAATATCAACGAAGGATTTATGTGTTCAAAGAGTTGGAAGTATAACAAAGTCAGGAAATACTGTAGCATGTGCATGTGAGGACATCACTTGTTCACATACTGTGACATAGAAACGATAATATGACTTATTTTGACCGTGTGTTACAGTTTTTTAACAAACGTAAAGGAGTTGGATTTATAAGGAAAGCTAAGGTGAAACGTTAAGGTAAGGCAGCAATTATAATTTTTAAAAATCTTAATCCTAGTGATATTACTTTGATTGATCTCTAATGTTACGTGTTGGCTATAAATTATAAAACTAATTTTACTTGAGCTAAATTTGCAGTAGCCTAGCCTCGATTATTCTATCGAAATGTTATGTATGAATTGAGTCATACCTCTTTGCCTTTATGCAGTGACTAACCCTTTTATGAATCTTTGGTCCCTTGGGTCTCAGTCTGGGTATGAAAGTTTGTTGAAGAAGTAATATTTCTTGTAGTATAAATATATACTTGGAAGTCTCGGGCGTTATAGGTTTTTCGGACGTCGATAACCATAGAGCACTCCCGAACGTGTGTGACGTCATTTCCTTACTGACGACGACGTACGGAAAATTACGAACAATGGATGATCCCCTTCCGAAGTGGTGGCCATTTTGACAATGTTAAATCTCCGTAGACTTTGAATTTGCCGCCGTGTGTATACACTGGTTGACCTCGAGGGTTCGGATAAACGGCGGAAGGTTGGAAAAAAAATGATCTATCGATCGGAACTGGGTTGAAAGCCAAGGTATTTATATATTTTGAGATTTTATGCGAAAAGTGCTTACAGTAACTTGGTGGGACAGACTATAGTATATTTTGGACCATTATTTTTTGGTTCCAAATTACAAAAACGTTGAAATATTAAAATCAATCGTCAAATTTTCGAACATGTTGCAATTAACCTCAATCTGAATAATACATTGTAACTTACTTAATATTACATAATTTGACTGTATAGTGAAACATACGGAGATAACGAACAGCACTCAAGCTCCAAAAGTCCTTAAAACAATACAAAATAGGGGTAGAGCAAACACAGACCTCCAAAACTTCAGAGGTGGGATCAAGTGCCATGGAGGAGTGAGCATCTCCCGCCGACCGCCGTTGGCTCCTTGTCATGATCGGAAAAAAAGAAGAAAAAATCCATTGTCAATTCAGTATATAAATAACGGACTAACAATTAGTATGAAGAACGTTAACGTTAGTCAGCTTTTGAGTCAATGATGAATTGTATTTGCTGACAAGGTCATGTACGAAATGATGACTTTAAACGAGACTGCTGATATTCTTGTTTCTTCGCTTTAAAAATGGAAATTAAACATACGTAGAGTATACGAGAGTGATCAAAAAGTTCGCAAACTAATTGAATAACTTCCATAAAAGAAACAATATTTGGTTTCAGTGTTGATTATATTTTAAGTTAGTGCTCTCCCATTTTAATGCACATCAACCACCGTTCTGCTCATGCGCAAATCACATGATATATAATCACGTGAAAATATTCAAATATGAAACAGATTTGTCAGACTCTGTGATATCTTTTATCTCAAGCTCGCCGGGATCGATATGTCGAATCGACATTAGAATGAAAATTACCGTTATTTGTTGACAATACGTAGTCGATATATCTAAATGTTGAGCTGAAGGCCACAGAAAGTGCTTTCTGCTTGTCACATTCAATATTTTGGACTAATTTTGCATTATATGAATACAAAAATAGGTCTGCTAATAACGGGGCACTATTGGTACCCATGGGAATTCCAATAGATTGTTTGAAGACCGGGTCTCCAAAAACCATATATATATATTGTCAATCAGAAACTCAAGGATCTTTCTGATGTCAACTTCAGAGTACTTGTGTGTACAATCAGAATGCTTTTTTAACAAAATAGTTTTGCAAATAACCAATGACAAGGTAGTTCCATTTTTTTAAAGCAGCTGTTAATGATATCAAAAAGTCTGGACTTTAAATTATTGTGGGGAATGCTTGTTAATAAAGTTGAAAAGTCATAAGTTTTAAGCTGTTGATTTTGGTTAGATCTCGTGATTTCAAATTGTCCAAAAATTCCTTGGAATTTCTAAGTATCCACATCTGATTTACATCACTTCTTGAATATATTGTTGCACAATACTCTTGAAGTTCTCCTTCACTACTGTTAATATCTTAGTGAGGAGTAAAGAAAGAGGCTCGATTGAACATTGACTGGAACCCTCTACATATCTTTGTTTGTAAGGTTAAAAAAACTGTAGTATACAACTACATGTATCATTATCTTGTAAATATTTAAGTAATTGCTTTTTAAAGTCAAAGACATTAATACATCGAAAATTGTTATACTGGCAATGCTGTTTATAGCGCTTTCTAATGGGATTCCAACACCTGGTTATAAATAACATGTTCTGTTATGTTGCACAAATGCCTGGTAAAGTACCTCCATTTTTTGTGAGGAAACTTGTTAGTGTAGAAATACTAGTACTTCAATTAAAACTTCTTGGATATCTTTGCATTGAGGAAAATGTCGTCTGTCGTTATTAAGTTTTTTATGACTATTTTAGCATCTATCGTCAGTAAAAAAATCCAACTATGAAACAGATTTGGCGGACTTTATTTGTGATGCCTTGTATGTCGACATATGCCTTGTATGTAGTGGGACATATCGAATTGTCAGCTGTTGTAAATTGATAAAATGATAAATTTATAAATATTGACTTTGGGCGAACGACCAGTTATAATCATCTACTCCAATATAAAAGTTTTTGAATTCATTCCGCTTCACAAGAATTCAAAACTGCAGGTCAGCTTATAAAGAGCTACAAATAGGAACTGCCTACATGAGTGCAAATGAATTACAATTTTAAGTAAATTCATGGGCAGGGTAATCTTAAACATTTTCTTTTTCACAAATTTTTTATGTACATTTATCTATCTTACAGAAAAAGGCTGTATTTCATGCAATGATTCATTCAGATAAATTCAAAATGCACTGTGGAAATGAATATGCTAATTGCACCATGAGTGCAATGTTGCGCTGAAAGACATATACGGATCGCCATTTTTGTGTGCTTTTTAATTTAAATATTTTTGTACATATTAAAAAACAAATTTACAAAAATCCTTATACTTTTGATAGCAGGTTTAAAAGGATATTTAACAATTTCCTCCGGTGCATTTCCAAATCATCATACATAAGATGAACTAAAGAATATTTTTCAAGTGCGGAAAGTTTACAAACGTTCATTCGCACAGAAATTTCACCGTGGAAGAAAAGCCTATCATTGATTAACACGTGTCATAAGTAAAATTAATTTAATCAGATTATGAATTTTACTTCAAATTTGAGAATTTTATTTGTTGGATTTAATATACAATGGAGTCGGTGGTTGGTTTTTACATAGGGATTGATTATATTTAACATTTCTATGGGTTAGAATCTCTCTAGATTGATAACATATTTTGATGAATAAATATTTAATTACCTATTTTAAAGAGATTTTTTTTTTCATCCGTGGATTCGATCATCGAAAAATATTTCCTTGTTCACTTAATTCACGTTTTTGATTTCGATTCAAACAGGTTTCATCAATCTATGCAAACGTGCCTACTAACTTTGATAAAAAAAATATACCAAAGAAATTATATACATCGGATCCATTACTTTTTGAATTTATTAGTATACTCAACGAAATCCCAGGTAATCATAAAAAAATGTCCATGTGGACGTGAAAATCTATTTCTTTCGTGTCAGACATATCTAATATTATCATTGTGGAATTTCAGAGGAAAAAAGCACAGAAAATAAGATTTTTCTAAAGACTTTTTAAAAATAATTTGTTCCATGATTTGATCTGTAATTTTTTATAATTTAAAAAGTAAGGGAAAAAACATGTTGCATGCAGTAAAAAGCTCTTATATTTTCTAAATTTCTATCATGACGTTTTGGGTAAAAATTATAGAGATGTATAAAATAAAAATGTGAAACTGAAAAGTGTATATCGGAAGAAAAAACAGTACAACCTTTCTTTTATTAGTTAACTGAAAACTGTTTTTGGTAACCTGACGATTTATGATTAAACATGACGACTTTAACTTTTCAATCGTTGACTTCCCTTACATATGTAGCAATATTGTGATACACAGTATACCCTCATCACCTGAAAGTGGGGTTTATGTTTCTTAGTTGATTCGATACGCAAGGGCATACTCTTAGAACGGACATTTCTGAAACGAGGCAACCCAAGGATAAACAAATTGATGAAACAAGAACATGCACAGTATCGTTTGAGGCCATCATGATAATTTCGTAAGTTCTATGATCGATATAATGTCTTGTCAGCAAATACAATTATCATTAACTCAACTGCCGATGGACGTTTTTAAACCCGCGCTTGAAAAGCGGGAGGGTATATAGTAATCGGTATGTCCGTCCGCCTGTACGTCCGTCTCTCTGTCCGTCCGCCCGTCCGTCCGTCTGTTACGCTTTGGGGTACCCATCTCTTATCCGCAACTCCCCTCATACCACGGAATGAAATTTGATGAAACTTTCACAGAAGCTTTATTACATACTGCCATTGTGCACCTCTTATTATAATTTTTGATCCGACACTTATTTTGGGTTTCCCACAGCAAAACATGGACACTGCCAATATACTGTAGATCACTAAATTTTTGCGACACCTTATTTTCGCGAGATAGTCATTGACTCTTTATAAGCGAGACATAATTTTCACGAATTGTTAATATTTCTCTATATAATCTTAAGGAATACTATTATACGCGAGAATGAAATTTTCGCGTGCTCACTGTCTCGCGTAATTACGCGAAAATAAAGTTCTCGCGAATAAAAAGTGATTTACATGTACAGTATTCATATGGGAGGCGGGGTATCATTTAGTGAGCTCATCGCTCACAGTACCTCTATTTTTATACTAATTATTAGACCATTCTTTACAAATTGAAATATATTCTGTTTTCCCGCGTTATTTCATACCCATGACATGAACACACGGCGGATGTGACCGATCCGCAGGTGATGTTTACTCCTCAATGCCACCAGATCCCACTCTGATGTTTTAGAGGTTCGTGTTTATTCAATCTGATCCTTAATTATCATACCCCCCCCCCCAGCTAGAAAAGCGGGAGGGTATATAGTAATCGGTATGTCCGTCCGTCTGTCCGCCCATCCGTCCGTCTGTCTGTTAAACTTTGGGTACCCATCTCTTATCTGCAACTCCTCTCATACCACTGAAATTTGATGAAACTTTCACTGAATCTTTTTAATTTTTGATCCAACACCTATATTGGATTTCTTATAACAAAACATGGTCACTGCCATTATATTCATATGGGAGGTGGGGGGTATAATTTAGGGAACTCATTGCTCACAGTACCTCTAGTTTGTAGTGTTTGAACAGACTTTTGAGCTTACTTATTGCTCGTTATCTCCGTATTTCATTCCACTTAGTCATAGAAAAACAATAAAATTGAGTTCTTATGACAGTACGGACAGAACTCGGTGACTTTCTCCTTCCCAAACATTTTAAGGTTTTATAATTTAAAATTAACAAAATTTATTTAGAATCATGAAAAGATCGTCGAAAAATATACAATCATTTATTTTTCGGTGACAAGAAACACTATTTTATATTATTTAGGCAAAGTAACGGGCCATGAAACTTTACTAATGAAGCACCAAGTAGAAATGACATCTGTATACTTCTTGTAGTTATAAAGCAATGAATTTGATAGATTAAAATTTTGAATTAAGGAACTGCTGAAGTTATTTG